CCACAGCCAGCCCTCTGTCCGAGTATACCACGTCCACAGCCAGCCCTCTGTCCGAGTATACCACGTCCACAGCCAGCCCTCTGTCCGAGTATACCACGTCCACAGCCAGCCCTCTGTCCGAGTATACCACGTCCACAGCCAGCCCTCTGTCCAAATATACCACGTCCACAGCCACCCCTCTGTCCAAGTATACCACGTCCACCGCCACCCCTCTGTCCAAGTATACCACGTCCACAGCCACTCCTCTTTCCAAGTATATCATGTCCACAGCCACCCCTCTGTCCAAGTATACCACATCCACCACCACCCCTCTGTCCAAGTATACCATGTCCACCACCACCCCTCTGTCCAAGTATACCACATCCACAGCCACCCTCTGTCCAAGTATTCTACATCCACAGCCAGCCCTCTGTCCAAGTATACCACATCCACCGCCACCCCTCTGTCCAAGTATATACCACATCCACCACCACCCCTCTGTCCAAGTATACCACATCCACCACCACCCCTCTGTCCAAGTATACCACATCCACCACCACCCCTCTGTCCAAGTATACCACATCCACTGCCACCCCTCTGTCCAAGTATACCCCGTCCACAGCCACCCCTCTTTCCAAGTATACCACATCCACCGCCACACCTATGTCCAAGTATACAACATCCACCGCCACCCCTCTGTCCAAGTATACCATGTCCACTGCCACCCCTCTGTCCAGGTATACCATGTCCACTGCCACCCCTCTGTCCAAGTATACCACGTCCACTGCCACCCCTCTGTCCAAGTATACCACGTCCACTGCCACCCCTCTCTCCAAGGTTTTGCTCACCTCTTGATAAAAAGAAATCAGATTTGTGTGACAACTTCTGTCTTTCATGAATCCATGCTGTCTGTTTCTTCCAATATTTGTTTCCAGCAAGAACTCCTCTTGTGGTCTTTTATTAAACTCTCCAGTATCTTCCCAACTATAGAGAAGTTACACTAACAGGTCTATAATTACTTGGTAAAGATTTTGACCCCTTTATAAATATTGGCCCCACATTGGCCTTACACCAATCCCGTGGTACTATGCCAGTCATTAAAGAGTCCCTAAAAATGAGAAACAATGGCTGTGAGATGACAGAGCTGAATTCTGTAAGGCCCCGTGGGTGTATGCCATCCGGTCCACGGGCTTTATTCACCTTTATTCTGTCTAAATATTTCTGGATCATATCAATTGTGAGCCAATGTGGATCATCTGGGGGGTGTCAGTACCACCCCCCCCCATTATGGACAAGAGCCCCCGCATGCTCCTTTGTATTCCCAGAGCTGAAGAAGGGATTTCATACATTGTCCTTCTCTTTGTCCCCAGTCCCCCCCTCTAGATGGTTCTGTAAAGGGCCTACATGCTGGGACCGGACCTTTCTACTATTTATATATTGGAGGAATATTTGGGGTCATCCTGATATCTTTTACAATCTGTCATTCATTTTCCATTTTTGCCTTTATTTGCTTTTTGCATATTTGTGTTCCTGCATGGCGACCACTTCCTGTTATCTCACATATATATTCTTATTATTATAGCCAAATTTACCCCCCTAACTCCTCCCACAGTTTTTACACTACATAGACAGTAATATACTGAAACGTGCGGATTGTTCCCGATTGGTGTGCTATTACTTTGTGGAACGTTTCGCCGAATGGTTCACGAAATATCGCCGGTTTGTGGTGAAATTGGTCCCATAGGAATGAATGGCGGAATGTTCAAAGCTAGAGTGGGAGCTGAAAAATCAGGACATGATCTCTAAACTGCCGTCACTCCCTCATTTTCAAGCCCACCTACACAAATCTTATATCAAAACGTTCAGCTATCCCGGCTGCCACTAAAAATGTCCACGGCTAAGCCATAGTCCTGATAGTTTTCACAGTATGACCATTTGTTTGCAACTCACGCCGCCCATTGACCTGTTCAGTTACTCAAGCCACTCCACCCAATTACTCCGCCCACGCCACCCAGTTACTCCGCCCACTCCAGTTGTAGACTACTGGTGGAGGCAAGAACACTTCACACAATTTCCCCAGAAATTGTAGCTTTTCTAGTCTGTTATATTCTTTGTAATGTGTAAACGATGATCGCGTTCCTTCATTTTTATATTTAATAGAATCTCTTTTCTTATTATCAATAGCTTTTGTAACTTTGGCCAGAAGCCACAGAGGTTGGATTTGTAGCCTTTTATACTTGTTGCCCATGGGAATATATTTTGCAGTGTGGTCACATACAGTCTTTTTAAAGAACTCCCATTTCTGTGTTGTGTTCATCAATGCCAATATTCCCTCCCAGTCTAAGTCTTGGAAAATTAGATCTCTTAAAGTTGAGCGTTTTTATCTTTCCTGTATGTGGTCACTGTTTACAGCTCACAATAAATTAAATCATGTTATGGTCACTGCTACCCAGATGTTCTTTATATGGACATTCGTAATAAGTTCTGCATGGTTGGAGATGACCAGGTCCAGAAGAGCATCATTGTCAGGAATCTAGGAGTGACCAGAAAGGTGTGGACTGACACAGGGAAACGCAGGTCTCAGGTACAATACAATACAATACAGGTTATTATTAGCCACCCGGATATATATATATGTATATAAACGCACAGTGAGCAAACCAACCTTCCACTAATCTTTAGGAGGTGCAGGAACACAGGCGTAGTCAGGGCTGGAGAGGTGGAACGGTCAGGCCGGCCGTAGGGTTCTGTAATGACCGTTTGGTGGTACCTCTAGCGGTCCTCAGGGCAGGATTCCCCAGGGCGCGGAGTCTAAGCCCCAGTCTGCCTTTTCACCAGAGCCCCTGATGGTGGGGATGGACTTGGCGCAGGACTGAGACCAGGTCGCGGCCCCTGAGTACCCCTGCTAGTGGTAGAGGGATCCGCCAGAGGTATGTGCAGGTACGGCTAGATCCGTGCAGGATGGATGGATGGCAGAGTAGTTAGCGTGGTCAGACAAGCCGGGTCGGTAACGGTGGAGGCAGATCAGTACAGAGCAGCAGGCAAAGAGTAAACGGGTCACAAGCCAAGGTACAGCAACAGGAGGTCAAACAGCATAGGAGTAGGCAGAAGAATAGTCAGGGATGAGCCAGTAGTCAGAACAGGAGACGGTCAACAGAGATCAGGATCAAGCCGGGTCAGCAACGAAGCTGGAACACAGGATACAGGTACAGAGGCTCATGGGAAAACATACACCAAGGCCCAGAGCACAGGCCTGGTCATGCCTTATATACACCTTTCTGTAATCAGCCCCAGGTTTGGCTGGTGAGCTTCTGGCTGCTAAGAGCACCCGCTGTCAGCTCTGTGCAGCCCACACGGCAGGCGAGTCCCACCACCTGCTGAGAGCACCCGCTGGTCAGCTCTGGTACTGCAGCCCACACGGCAGGCGAGTTCCACCACCAGTGCTGAGAGCACCCGCTGGTCAGCTCTGATACTGCAGCCCACACGGCAGGGGAGTCCCACCACCAGTGCTGAGTCCATTCCTGACAATCATTCCTAATTGGGGCCTCTATGAACTGGACCATAAAATTGTCCTGTAGAAGGTTTATAAATGTTTGCCCTTTAACTGTTCCTGCAGTACCATTACTCCAGTCAGTTTCCGGGTAGTTACCATCCCCCATTATTATCACTGTTCCAGCCCTTGCAGCCCTTTCCATCTGTGGGAGGAGCTGAGTCTCCGCCTCCTCATTAACACTAGGAGGCCTATAACAAACTCCAATGATTACCTTTGTAGTACGTCCCGCCCCCCATGTGCAGTTCCACCCATAATACTTCAGCCTCACCACACTCTCCATCAACTAGGTCCTCTTTCACACCCGCTCTGAGATCACTTCTCACATAGAGACAGACTCCACCCCCTTTCCTATTCCCTCGCCTCTCTGAAAGAGAACATTTTTATATACATTCTATGTCGTCATAATAAATACAGAAGTTATATCTCCACTATTGACCTCTGAGGAAGGAGGCATTTCCCCTGAAATGAGTTGGCTTCACCTGTTGCCCAGTAAACATTTCGATTAGACCTCTGAGTGTCCTGAATATTTTTACTGGGTGCTCCCCACTATCATCTAGACACGTGCAGTTCGTTTTGTTCCAAATCACATTTCAGCCAAAATGTTGATTATTTGGAGATTCGGATGTATCTGAATTTCCGAATTACAATAGTAACGATTTTAAACAAACCCAAAATAATGAAATGAAATTAGAATCTAATCGAACTCGAGTCCATTTTCCAATGAATTCAAACACAAATTCTAAATATAAACATATTGAATAGAATAGAAAAGAAAGTAATATAATAGAGTCGAAAATACCAAAAAATTAAATCGAAAACATAGAACAGACTATAATACAATAGAAAGAATATAGCTGTCTTCCAAAATTCAAATTTAGAAAAGAATAGAATAAAATAGAAAATAAAGGAATAGAATAGAAAATAAAAGAATAGAATAAATTAGAATAGAAAAAAATAGAATAGAATAAAGTAAAAAGAATATAGCCATCTTCCAAAATTTGAATTGCAAAAAGAATAGAATAGAATAAAACAGAATAGAAAATAAAATAGAACAGAAAATAAAAGACGAGAATAGAAAAAAAACAGAATAGAAAATAGAATAAATAGACTAAAACAGACTAAAATAGAAAATAAAAATAGAATAAAATAGAAAGAATAGAGCCAGCTACTCTTCACAATGACTTTGTTACAAAAGCAACAAAACAAAATTAGTAACTTAATCAGTCGATCTGAAACAAAACAAAGCAAATGTCTTCGTTGTGCACATGTCTATTGTCATCTACTGAGCGTTCCCATCTATCAAGGAGGCAGCAGCCCAGGACCAGGACCAGGACCAGGACCATCTACAGCGCGCCTTTGTTGTTTCATAGCCTATTGAAGGAACATTTATTCTATTTTATACCCAAGAGTGCCAGGACCTGGATTCCACCAGTCACACCTACACATCAGCAGACAATGTCACACTCACCGTCACTCTTCTCCATGACTTCCTTCTGACACGTGTCCTGGACATTGACTGTACAATTGACAATAAATTCCGGGGAAGAGCAGTCATCTCGCTGGAACTCCTCACACTGGTAGCACTGGATCTGCAGAGCAAGGCCTACAAGAAGGAGACGTCAGTCAGACAAGTTTAGGAGACCAGAGGAAGGTCAACCAAAAGATGAAGCTTCTGGTGGAGGAAAATGGTTCCTAAAATGGTTTCTTGAGGGCCAAGCATGAACCTACTGAGTGAACCCGCATGGTATGACATGATTGCTCTTCTCCAGTCTGAGGATAGCCTGTTCTGCCTACAGATATTTTTCTGACCCTTCTGGGACATTTGTGATTGGAAGCTTTAGCAGACCAATATCTATATTCTGTGTGGAGGTCATCAGATGCCGATACGTATCGCAGGTGAGATGGTCATTGGACGTTTCCGGGACGAGCGTTGCTTGTTCAAGGTTCAAGGTAGGACGTTCCCAAGATTACAATCAGCTGCTCATGAGTGGTGATGATCTGAACCGCCCTGGCTTCGGAATGAGAGATATATGAACTTTGAAGAGGTGAATGCTGAACCCAAATTCCAACAAAATCAAAAGGAGCCAAATTTGTCAAATTAAAAATGCCCATTTTCTGGGCTAATAGGCAAGAGGTTATCAAAAGTAGCGGGGGGGGGGGGGGGGCTGGGGAACATGCACCAAAGCAAAAAAAAATTCAATTTGGCAGATATCAGTAAATTTTAAGTTCTTAAAGTAAAACATTAGAAGTGCCCAGTCCCTTTACATACCATTCTTGGGGGGTGTCCTAATCCTGGGGGGTGCCCTAATCCCTGGGGGTTGTCCTAATCCTGGGGGGTGTCCTAATCCCTGGGGGCTGTCCTAATCCTGGGGGGGTGTCCTGATCCTGGCAGGTGCCATAATCCCTGGGGGGTGTCCTAGTCCTTTTGGTTGTCCTAATCTTGAGGGGTAACCCAATCCCTGGGGGGTGCCCTAATCCTGGGGGTTCCTTAATCCCTGGGGGTGTCCTATTCCTTGGGGGTTCCCTAATCCCTTGAGGGTTCTAATCCTGAGGGGTTGCCTAATCCCTAGGGGGGGGTCCTTATCCTGGGGGGTGTCCTCTTCCTTGGGGGTGTCCTGATCCTAGGGGGTGTCCTGATCTTGGGGGGTGTCCTAATCCCTGCGGGTGTCCTAATCCTGGGGGGTGCCCTAATCCATGGGGCGGGGGGGTGTCCTAATCCTGGGGGGTTCCTTAATCCCTAGGGGGTGTCCTAATCCCTGGGAGGTGTCCTATTCCTTGGGGGTTCCCTAATTCCTGGGGTGGATCCTAATCCTGAGGGGTTCCCTAATCCCTGGGGGGTGTCCTTATCCTGGGGGGTGTCCTAATTCCTGGGGGGTGTCCTAATCCTGGGGGTGTCCTAATTCTGTGGGTTCCCTAATCGCTAGCGGTTGTCCTAATCCTTGGGTGTGCCCTAATCCCTGGGGGTTGTCCTGATCCTGGGGGGTGCCCTAATCCCTGGGGGTTGTCCTGATCCTGGGGGATGCCCTAATCCCTGGGGCTTGTCCTGATCCTGGGGATGCCCTAATCCCTGGGGGGTGTCCTTATCTTTGGGGGTTGTCCTAATCCTGGGGGTGTCCTAATCCCTGGGGGCTGTCCTAATCCTGGGGGGGTGTCCTGATCCTGGCAGGTGCCATAATCCCTGGGGGGTGTCCTAGTCCTTTGGGTTGTCCTAATCTTGAGGGGTAACCCAATCCCTGGGGGGTGCCCTAATCCTGGGGGTTCCTTAATCCCTGGGGGTGTCCTATTCCTTGGGGGTTCCCTAATCCCTTGAGGGTTCTAATCCTGAGGGGTTGCCTAATCCCTAGGGGGGGTCCTTATCCTGGGGGGTGTCCTCTTCCTTGGGGGTGTCCTGATCCTGGGGGGGTGTCCTGATCTTGGGGGGTGTCCTAATCCCTGGGGGTGTCCTAATCCTGGAGGGTGCCCTAATCCATGGGGGTGTCCTAATCCTGGGGGGTTCCTTAATCCCTAGGGGGTGTCCTAATCCCTGGGAGGTGTCCTATTCCTTGGGGGTTCCCTAATTCCTGGGGTGGATCCTAATCCTGAGGGGTTCCCTAATCCCTGGGGGGTGCCCTTATCCTGGGGGTGTCCTAATTCCTGGGGGGTGTCCTAATCCTGGGGGTGTCCTAATTCCTGGGGGGTGTCCTAATTCTGTGGGTTCCCTAATCGCTAGCGGTTGTCCTAATCCTTGGGGGTTCCTAATCTCTGGGGGTTGTCCTGATCCTGGGGGGTGCCCTAATCCCTGGGGGTTGTCCTGATCCTGGGGGGTGCCCTAATCCCTGGGGCTTGTCCTGATCCTGGGGATGCCCTAATCCCTGGGGGGTGTCCTTATCTTTGGGGGTTCCCTAATCCCTGGGGGGTGTCCTGATCCTGGGGAGTGCCCTAATCCCTGGGGGGTGTCCTATTCTTTGGGGGTTCCCTAATCCCTAGGGGGTTCCCTAATCCCTGGGGGTGTCCTTATCCTTGGGGGTTCCCTAAACCCTGGGGGGTGTCCTTATCCTGCCTGTGAAAGGTCCCATCTCTGTGATGTACAGAAAGTGCTGCAGCAGCGCTGACATTTACAAAGAAAAAAAATCTACAAATCACCAGCAAATGATACTTCACTCCCGAGTTCTTCAAATAAACTCCACCCCTCCCCCACCTCATCCATTCAGAGAAAGCCTTGTATACACTGAAATATAATGCAAGGCGTCCTGAGTGATTTGCAGCATCTCCAGCGCCCTCTACAGGTCAGATGTGGACACTTACACCCCGCCACACTACATGGAGGTAGAACCATCATTCCCGGAGTTCCACTTTAAATGGCTTCTGAAGGTTACACCCATTCTTCTGCCAAAGGACCGCCCCTCACTGGACTCATTGTTTTATTTAAAGAAAGAAATAATACATCAAAAAAGTCAAATAAAAGTTCTATAATACAGAATAAGGGAGAGTCCCGCAGTCCCGGACAGAACACACACAGTCCTCAATACTTCTTCCACATGTAGAGCTCCCCCCACAGGAGCCACATGGTGATTGGGGTTCTCTTTTTTGCTCCTCAACTCCAAGAACAACCTCCCGCCCCTCTGACACCCCCCCTGAGTGAGAAGACGCGTGTAGAGAGCTTCACCTCGGCGGTGAGTTATCACCAGGATGTGGACACCAGATCGATCGATTACTGGCTAATGAACTCAGTGTATTGGGACGGGGTGGAATACAGGAGGTAGGTTCATAAGAAGGTAGGTTCATACAGGAGGTATGTCAATACAGGAGGTAGGTTCATAAGAAGGTACGGGTTCATACAGGAGGTATGTCAGTACAGGAGGTAGGTTCATAAGAAGGTAGGTTCATAAGAAGGTAGGTTCATACAGGAGGTAGGTTCACACAGAAGGTAGGTTCATACAGAGTGTAGACTCACACAGGAGGTAGGTTCATAAGAAGGTAGGTTCATACAGGAGGTAGGTTCATACAGGAGGTATGTCAATACAGGAGGTAGGTTCATAACAAGGTGGATTCATACAGGAGGTATGTCAGTATAGGAGGTAGGTTCATAAGAAGGTAGGTTCATAAGAAGGTAGGTTCATACAGGAGGTATTTCAGTACAGGAGGTAGGTTCATAAGAAGGTAGGTTCATAAGAAGGTAGGTTCATACAGGAGGTATGTCAGTACAGGAGGTAGGTTCATAAGAAGGTAGGTTCATAAGAAGGTAGGTTCATAAGAAGGTGGGTTCATATAGGAGGTATGTCAGTATAGGAGGTAGGTTCATAAGAAGGTAGGTTCATTAGAAGATAGGTTCATAAGAAGGTAGGTTCATAAGAAGGTAGGTTCATACAGGAGGTATGTCAGTACAGGAGGTAGGTTCATAAGAAGGTAGGATCATAAGAAGGTGGGTTCATAAGAAGGTAGGTTCATAAGAAGGTAGGTTCATACAGGAGGTATGTCAGTATAGGAGGCAGGTTTATAAGAAGGTAGGTTCATAGGAAGGTAGGTTCATACAGGAGGTATGTCAGTATAGGAGGTAGGTTCATAAGAAGGTAGGTTCATACAGGAGGTATGTCAGTACAGGAGGTAGGTTCATACAGGAGGTAGGTTCATACAGGAGGTAGGTTCATACAGAAGGTAGGTTCATACAGAGTGTAGACTCACACAGGAGGTAGGTTCATAAGAAGGTAGGTTCATACAGGACGTATGTCAGTACAGGAGGTAGGTTCATAAGAAGGTAGGTTCATACAGGAGGTAGGTTCATACAGAAGGTAGGTTCATACAGAGTGTAGACTCACACAGGAGGTAGGTTCATAAGAAGGTAGGTTCATACAGGAGGTATGTCAGTACAGGAGGTAGGTTCATAAGAAGGTAGGTTCATACAGGAGGTAGGTTCATAAGAAGGTAGGTTCATACAGGAGGTAGGTTCATAAGAAGGTAGGTTCATACAGGAGGTATGTCAATACAGGAGGTAGGTTCATAAGAAGGTGGGTTCATACAGGAGGTATGTCAGTACAGGAGGTAGGTTCATAAGAAGGTAGGTTCATACAGGAGGTAGGTTCATAAGAAGGTAGGTTCATAAGAAGGTAGGTTCATACAGGACGTATGTCAGTACAGAAGGTAGGTTCATAAGAAGGTAGGTTCATACAGGAGGTAGGTTCATAAGAAGGTAGGTTCATACAGGAGGTATGTCAGTACAGGAGGTAGGTTCATAAGAAGGTAGGTTCATACAGGAGGTAGGTTCACACAGAAGGTAGTTTCATACAGAGTGTAGACTCACACAGGAGGTAGGTTCATAAGACGGTAGGTTCATACAGGAGGTATGTCAGTACAGGAGGTAGGTTCATAAGAAGGTAGGTTCATAAGAAGGTAGGTTCATAAGAAGGTAGGTTCATAACAAGGTGGGTTCATACAGGAGGTATGTCAGTACAGGAGGTAGGTTCATAAGAAGGTAGGTTCATACAGGAGGTATGTCTGTACAGGAGGTAGGTTCATAAGAAGGTAGGTTCATAAGAAGGTAGGTTCATAAGAAGGTAGGTTCATACAGGAGGTATGTCAGTATAGGAGGTAGGTTCATAAGAAGGTAGGTTCATAAGAAGGTAGGTTCATAAGAAGGGTGGGTTCATAAGA